AAATCCTCCTTTCATGGTAAATCCAACTAGTAGTTATCGAAGCCAACATAAGATTGATGGACAAAACGAGGCTGAACTAAAGAAAGCGCAAAACTATTATATCAAAATAAATTTCTATTGTTCTACTATTAATGTCTAATTACTTTTTCTTCTTATGTGTACATAAAAATGAGGGAACATGTTGGTACCTTAGACATCCATTCAGTCACTTCTTTAACCCCACGATGCTGTGACAAAGCCACAACGTATATTTCCATTCTGTTGCAAGTACTAAGAACAGCAGCTTCCTCTATATGATTTAGAGCACACAGTTCACCAATTGCTTGGGGCCATTGAGCTTCCGGTATAGAAAGTTTCTCACGTACCTCAATTGGTGCCGTACGGAAGTTAAGCCCTACAACCACAATACTGCTCGTTTCCTTTGTATATCCTGCGAGGAGAATTTAGATCATCACTCCAATACTTCATTTAAGAAGATTTGTAGAATTATATGCAATTAAAAAGGAAGACGGACAAAATAAAACTCTGAAGTCTCGAGAAAACAGCATCCCGCAACCACATATTATATTTGTTACTGATGCAAGTTATACAACGATCCACCTAGTTCTGAAGAGAAATGAAAGAAAAATTGAAGATGAATTGAATTATCTACCATCAAATAGAAACCAACAAATGTATTCACTTTCATGAACACACAACCCTAACGGATAGAATTATATGTAATTCATCAGTCTTTCGATCTTGTATTCTATATCTAATTGTTCTCATTTTTGTTTTCTCCAATTCATTCTTCATCCTGTTAGAATCAAGTTCTTTTCCCACCTCTAGGCATTTGATCCAGCTCTTCATCTCATAAATAGCCGATAAAATAAACTAAACCAAAAATTAAGACTTACGATCGGCAGCAGATGTCTTCAGAAGCTCCAAAGCTGAAACACTGGATCGCTTGGCTTCAATTTTAGGGTTGGAACCGGCCTCACATCTAGGGTTTGATACGAACAATTGCTTTTCAGGAATCACTTTCCTAATCCTCAGATTATCAAAAAATCGCGTTTGCGAAGAAGAATAACAAAGAGAAAATTTCTGAATGCTGCGGGGATATTTCCAAACCTCCACTTTCAATTTCTGCTCGGAGAAATTATTAAGTGAAAGAGAGCTCACGAAGCCACTCACTGTCGCCATTGCAAAACAATGAGAGGTTGTTTTGTAAAGCGAGAGGGCTTCGAGATCTCGAATTTATCGGGGAATTTGTCAATGTGAATTCCCAGAGCAGGTGAAAACAGAGGATCGGAAGGTGGAGACGGCCGTGCTAAAATTTTGACTAAATCGCACGGACATTTTTCTAAAATGGACAAATATTATTTTAATGACAAGACTTTGTTTGTCATACAAAGCGAGCTTGCATTCTGTTTGTAGACCAATAAAAATCAATGGAGGAAAAATAGATGGGGGTACTCTTTTGGTATCAGATATGGCATCTATTTGATCTTTTTGGTATCAGATATGATATCTAAGAGCCTAGCAATCCGTTAATATTCAGTTGTTTAAAAGGTTAAAACCTAACCTTGAGGGCCCCCA